ATTATTTGTGCAATGCAAATTTCAAATTTTAAAGCATTTAAATTGCATTAATGTTGTGTAGTATTTTCACAGTGGAGGCTTGTATTTCTAATAAGTCATACAAAACGTTAGGAACTTGAAAAATAATAGTCAATGACGCAGCAAATCTAGTTGTGATGGTTGGTACTTCAAATGTCCGAATCTCGACTGACGCGCTCAACATCGTTCGGTATTTATCATTTCACCCACGAGAAACGAATATGGCACAAGGCCGGTTTTATTGTGGGTTTCCCCGAGCCCGTAGGCTCGGCCAAAAAATAGCCTTTTGAAGCCGATTAGACGGGTTCAGGCCCCGTCTACCTCCCCGGACGAAACCTTGCCCTTCGGCAAAGCCTCGTCCGTTCCTCTCTACTAACGCAGAGAGTTCGACAGGAGGTGTGCGCAGTCAGAGACCGCTCAACACCGTTCGGTATTTATCTTTTCACCCACGGAAAAGAATATGGCACAAGGCCGGTTTTTATGTGGGTTTCCCCGAGCCCGTAGGCTCGGCCAAAAAAATAGCCTTTTGAAGCCGATTAGACGGGTTCAGGCCCTGTCTACCTCCCCGGACGAAACCTTGCCCTTCGGCAAAGCCTCGTCCGGGTTCCTCTCTGCTAACGCAGAGAGTTCGACAGGAGGTGTGCTCAGTCAGAGACTTCTCAACACCGTTCTGCCAGACTTGCCACTGCTACTCCTACTTATTATCTATGGGAGAGTCCATTACCAAAGAATAGGTACTATGGCACAACAATTAATAAACTAGATTATTCAAGTGGAATATTCTAGAATATTCCAATAATGTTATCGGTAGTTATTTTTAGCCTAAACCACAAATAGCATATATTGTAATTGATATTCGTGCGGGAAGGTTATCATCAAGGCTAGATCTAAATAATTGAGAAATTCGCAAAAAGAACTGATTGTTAAACTCTGGAAAGAAGGTAAAAGTTACAGAAAAATCTCAGACAATACAAATATTCCATTTACTACCATTAAACTCAAAAAACTAAAAATTGTAGAAAATCAAAGAACAGGTGCTCCACGGAAGATTTCTGCAAAATCTTTGAAGAAATTAATGCGTCAAATTGAACAAAATCCAATGGTTACACGTTAAGTGTTGCAGACTGATTTGCTTTCATCAGGAATCTGGGTCACTAAACGGAAAATAAGCAATGAAATTCATAGGAACAAGTCACGCTCTCCTCGGAATATATATATCCACAGTGCTATTGAAAAGATACAAAGAGGCCAAGTTGAAATTCGTCCGTGAAAATAAGGATCAGTAAAAACCGTACTGAGAAAGAGTATTATGGATAGACGAAACCAAAATTGAGTTGTTGGATGTAATTTTAGAAATCATGTATGGAGAAAAAATGGTGATGCCTTTAAACAAAAGAACACAGTTCCAGCAGTGAAATTCGGTTGTGACAAAATTCGGTTTTGGGGATGTTTTTTTTTTTTGTTTTTTTTTGTTTTTTGCAAAAGGTGATAGCAATATATCAGTAACAGTAGAATGAATGCCGCAGCTTATCAAGAAAATTTAGCAAATTTAATGATTTCGGTTGAAACTTCCTCCTGATTGGATCTTCCAACAGGATAATGATCCTAAGCAAACTGCAAACTCTATGAAGAAATGGTTTGTTAAAAATAATGTAAATATCCTGAAATGGCCAAGTCAGTCCCCAGATTTAAACCGAATCGAGAATCTGTGGCGTCATTTGAAAATTCAAATGCAATCGAAAGCTCTAACAAATATCCTGGATTTGAAGATCATATGCCAAGAAGAATGGAACGAAATACCAACTAAATTTTGCAAATCATTGAGAACTACAGAAGAGGTTGGTTGCTGTAGAAATGAAAAATGGCGATTCTACAGAATATTAAATGAAGATTATGTATTCTTTTTTGTAGTGTACGAATATTTTTTCACCCATTAAAATGGATAAATGGGATTTATTTCTATTAAATCATTTTGTTTCTGTTTACTATGCATATTTAGTTATGCATCTGTGTACAGTTAATTATAGGAAAAGCATGTTTATTCATTAGATGAAAAAATAATAAATTAAAAATTAGTATGTGTACGAATATTTGATAGACAGATAGATATTTGTGTAGATATTTGTATATTTAGATGAACCTGTGTCATCATTTGTACTCTGGAGGCATCCATCATCTGATAATCACGCAAGTTAACCTTTCCAGATAGGATAAAACGAGACACATTGATCCCTAAGGAAGATCTTTTAGGAGCTATGACGGATAGGGAATACTGGAGAGGTGTAGTGAGTTCAATCTCGGCTGAGGCTGCAGGATGATGATGATGATGATGATGATGATGTGTATTTAGGCAGCGATCCTTTAATTTTATTCAGTACAACAGACAAGGTGCTTTGATTTAGATTTTTATACAATTTCTCATGTGATCTAATGCATAGAATCTAATAATTGTTTTTCTTTTCAGATGATAAATTATATAAAAACTGTCCGAATGTCCTTTAATCCGAGCGCTTTCGGCTATACATTTATCCATTTTCAACGTTTTAACTGTTAACAAGAAATAGATTGTTGTATGTATGTATCTGTATAATGTTTCCTTTTTCAAAACACGGTCAATATATTGCGTCCATGTTCGTAGTTGATATTATTGACTATTGATTTATCTTGTTTTTATTAATAAGCCTTCCATTATTTCTATCCTTTTTTTGCATGTAGATAATGCTATTATATTTGTGTTGTCAACAAGTATGTGACGAATAGTGTCCAGTAGGTCTCCATGAATATTTAAATGAGATCTGATTGAGGTATGATCAGAAAGGTATAGAGTGAGTTTCGTGTCAAACATATTGTAGTATGGCACATATATATATATATATATATATATATATACATATACAGATTGTAATCCACAGACAGACTTTTTCGCTGTATCAGTATGACTAGACGTCCGGTTGCCTCTAGCTAGGAACGAAACCCGACTGAATTGGCGTCAGTCAGGGATTCTACCACTAAGACGTTGGTGCATGGCAGAGATAGATTTGAATTTAAGCGTATTTATTTTTAAATAAATACACAGTGAATGAGAGAACTTGATTCGATTTACCGAAGAGTCTTGCATTATTAGTTGTAATAGTCAGTCAGCTCAACCAAAATAAATGACAGACTGTGTGTACATATATATATATATATATATATATATATATATATATATATATATATATAAAAAGGAAGGATGTGTGTGTGTGTGTGTGTGTGTGTTGTACCGAATGTACGGCCGCAATTTTCGACGGATTTGCACCAAAATTTACATGCACATGCTCCAAGTTAGCGGGAAGGCCAAGACTGACTTGCATTTCACAACACTCATCGATAGTGGAAATCATCGATTTTTTCGTGCTTCTACGGCAGTTTTCATGTAGTTTGCGGCCATTTTCTACTGGCCAGAGTGAGAGCCTATAGCTGGCTGCCACGAATAGGCAGAAAGATTCTATTGGCCAGCGTGAGAGCCAACAGCTGACTGACACGAATGTTAACTTTGCATGGAAAAAAATCGATGACTGCACACGTCACAAGTGGGAACAATTTAAATCTGCATGATACTTTACTCCAATTGGCTCATTCGCTTGCTTAAACTCAACGTTGATTCTGATTCCGCAGAACCGGGTTGGATGTGAAAAAGTATTTGTTGTTATCATTCTTTTTTCATTCGGTTTTTCCATTTACGAGTCCTTTTTTTTATAGCTGATCGTTTTGCGTTTATTTTGTTTAGTTCTTTTTTCGTAACGGATTTAATGTTTAGTATAGAGCTTAGAAAAAAATTCGCAGTGTGAGATAGGCAAGAAGTAAGGCATGTAGCAACATCAGCACGGCAAAGGACACTCCTTTAAAGGCAAGGAAGGGCAAAAATATTTTAAGTCAAGTGATAATGATTGCTGTATGAGTCGTACGATTTTTGAATCAAGCACGGGAAACGCCGGGCCATGCTGCTAGTCGTATATATGTGCGTTAGTGTGCATACACAAATAAGCGAATAAATATTTACTCAGTTTAATATAAGGTGTAAACAAAAGATGGTTCAATGTGGTTAGACCGTCCTAAGAAGTATATATTAATAAATATGCATATACCTACGTTCTAGGTGCAACTTAAGTTTCGTTGTTCTACCAACTCATCAGGCACGAATTATTACTTTTGATTTTGAAAAAAATATACCGCGTCTCATGGAAGAAACGCTAAATTCAAGGGATTCAAAGTTCAAATTCAATATAAACTTAATATAATATAGGGGTCTACATACAGAATATAGTGTGTAGGGAGGGGTCTATTGTAAAAAAAAAAGCAAGCTTAAAGTTCAAAAGAGGAATTCCGGGTAACTCGTCAAGTAATAATAGACGTTATAATGACAAGGAAGCGCAAAATATTTTAAGTCAAGTGATAGCGATTGCTGTATGAATCGTACGAGTTTTGAATCAAGCACGGGCAACGCCGGGCCATGCTGCTAGTATATATATATATATATATATATATATAGAAAAAAGAGAGAGAGAGAGAGAGAGAGAGAGAGTGCGATGGGTAAATTGTCGCTATATTATATTTTTAATTTCACGCATGCGTGTTGCTTGTGATTTTGTCGACCGCACTGTATAGTAGAGTCAGTTGGGACTATCTGTGAGAAAAAGAGCACCATGACGCTGTTCACTTCGCCATAGATCTTTTAATATACCCTGTACACACACACAAACATACATATGTGTGTTTGTGTGCGTGCGTGCGTGTGTACGTGTGTGTGTGTGTGTATGTGTGTGTGTGTAAGTTCATATAGATCATTGTTAGCATTGCTAAAACGAAATAATGGATATTGCAATGGCGCTTATGATGGATCTATAATGGAAGATTTGATTTGATTTTAGTTCACTAGAATGATGGGCTGCGTGAAATTAGAAACATGTGACATTCTGCAGATTGATATAAGTTCAGCGTTTATGGACTTCTCTTTCAAAGAGAACATAGCTTTCGCCATGTCCCTCCATAGCAAACTCTCTCTCTCTCTCTCTCTATTTCTTTCTTTCTTTCTTTCTTTCTTTCTTTCTATATCGGTCTATTCACACAGGGGACGCCAGAAATGCATCACATATATAAATCCAAAAGGAACCTCCAACATAATGGTAAGAGATTAGTGACAACGGTGTTTTCATCTCCATCATGTCTTTCTATGACGAGGAAGGTAGTTCTTTGAGGTATATGTGGGAGGTATTTCAATCACCGTATCTATCTATCTATCTATCTATCTATCTATCTATCTATCTATCTATCTATCTCAGGCTGTCCATTATCTATCTATCTATCTATCTATCTATCTATCTATCTATCTATCTATCTCAGGCTGTCCATTATCTATCTATCTATCTATTTATCTATCTATCTATCTATCTATCTATGTAGCAATGCCTCGCATATATAACTCCAAGAAATACACCCAACATAATGGTAAACATTATTGCCAATGGTTTTTTTCATTTCGTTATCATCTTACCAATATGTGAGAGGTATTTATGTGAGGTAAATAGTGGATGTATTTCTGCAGCGCCATCAATCTGTCTATTTTAGTCTTTTCTTGTCTTCACGCAGCCTGTTTCTATCTATCTATCTATCTATCTATCTATCTATCTATCTATTTAATTCTCCTTCTTTTCGCATCTATCTATCTATCTATCTATCTATCTATCTATCTATCTATCTATCTATCTATCTATGTTTGTTAATGCAGGATGCGCCAAAAATACATCCAACATAATGGTAAGACATTAGTGTCAATGATAGCTTCATCCAACTAATACTTTATCAATATCTATCTATCTATCTATCTATCTATCTATCTATCTATCTATCTATCTATCTATCTATCTGTCCATTTCTATCCATATTTGTCCGTCCTCTCTGCATCGGTTAGGAAGTAAAAACAAACTTTGGAATAGCGGGAAAATTACAAAGCTGTTCTCTCTGATAAATTCTCTTAGACAATCTTATGCTAACCTCACCAATCCAGGAAAATTGCAAGTCGACGATGCTGTCTTTCGGAACATACAATTTGTGTTTATTCGATTACACAATTTTAGAAAGGAACTTAAATTGCACAATGTCCAGAGGTTAGCCATTCTCAAATAAAACCTTCCCAACAAACTCAATTTCAAACTTTAATTTCGTTTATTACTACGTAGAAATACATTCGTAAATCTATTCTGTTATGGCCTGCTAGTGGATGTACTCCTGCTAATACGAAGATGCATGTAGTTCAGGCATGATGGGGCTCCAGCATATTTTAGTTACAGTGATCACGATTCACTGGCTGACATCTACCATGAGAGAAGTATAGGTAGTAGTGGAGGACCGTTTCCATGGCCTGCACGTTCCCCCAAACTTAATCCTTGACACATTGATGAAGCGTCTCTGCATTATCAAAGTCTCCTGCATGGACCAATTGTCCTAGCTGGCCCCACAGATCCAAATCCAAAGGATTAAGTTTGGGGGAACGTGCAGGCCATGGAAACGGTCCTCCACTACTACCTATACTTCTCTCATGGTAGATGTCAGCCAGTGAATCGTGATCACTGTAACTAAAATATGCTGGAGCCCCATCATGCCTGAACTACATAATATATTATATATATATATATATATATATATATATATATATAATTTATATTAGGAAAATTCACGTAAAACATGCAAAAAATCGTTATACAATTGCAGTCGTGTTTCAATGCATATCAAGCGATTGTAAATTACTTGTGAGTGAAGGATATATTTAGATTTAAGAGCAAAATACAACCTCCATTTACGAAAAAAAAGGGATATAAGTTTTGTAAATATATATATATATATATATATATATATATATATATATATAGTGCTGTTTGATAAAAATGACTCACCTGATTTTTTTTTACTTAAAATTTTTTTCACCTATTGTTTTTGGGGTCAAACTAATTTTTAATCTTACTTATATAAAGATCCTATCCCGACCACCTAATAAAAAAGTTTACTCGCCCTAAGGCATTCAATTGATAAGTATAATTTTGGATATAAATGAGATTTAGAGAAAAACTCTATGCAAAAAAAAGTGACTTACTTTTTCCTGCAACTAGTAATCAATAGAAACATAACCGAACAGCTTTAAATAAAGAATAATAGAGGTATAATTTATTTATAATAGGTAATATAGTTTGAAATATTTAATAATCTATGGGTCCTCCTTTATTTTAAATAACCTTTTCAGCCCTTTTTGGCATTGACTTGATTAGGTTCTGGCAAATCTCATCTCCAAGCATTGAATTTCATTTGGATATGAAATTCACAATCAAATCCTCTTTGTTGCTCAACTGCTTTCTCGAGAGCCTGTACTTTATAATGCTCCATAAGTTTTCTATGGGGTTGAGGTCAGGAGATTGGGGCGCCCATGTCATAACACTCACCTGCTTCCCATCAAAGTATTCCTTCATCAATTTTGATTAGTGACAGGGAGCATTATCCTGCATAAAAATGAGCTTGGTGGGGTCGATTTGCACCCTTTCAGCAGAAGGGAGCAGACAAGACTCTAAAATCCTCTTGCACTGCTCGCTCCTGAGGGTCTTTTCAATAGGTTTTAAGAAACCATTTCCATGAAAAGAAAAGCATCCCCAGAACATTATACTGAACGGATGCTTGACAGTACTTACTGCTAAATTCAAAGAGCTTTCAAAGTTTCTTCGGATTTTAGATCGCTTATCCTTTGAATTTAGCTCAACTTTCGTTTTATCGGAGAAGAGAACATTTAGTAAAGAAAATTAGGTGAGTTAATTTTATTGAACAGCACTGTACAGCGGTTGGACAAAATAATTGAAAAACTTGTTAAATTCAAAGAAAAATTATTTAATATGGAGTTGATCCTTCTTTACCCTCATATAAAGCTTTAATACGTCTAGGAATTACAGCTTTCTGACTTCCTCCAGAGGAATTTTCTGCCATTCTTCCACTAGCACCTGCTCCAGTTTTTTAAGACACAACAGTGGCGGATAGCAGCTCCTAATTTGTCACTCCAAAATGCACCGCAAATGTTCAATAATATTGATATCTGGAGATTGGGGAGGCCGCTCCATGTATTCTAGCTCACTTTCATTCTCTTCATACCAATTTTTAACAACTCGAGTGGTATGTATTGGAGCATTATCATCTTGGAAGATGCGGTCACAATCAAGTCTGGGCCATTGGATGAACATGATCAACCAAAATGTTCAGGTAATATTTGCAGTTGATTCTACCATGCAGGGCAACTATTGAACCGAAACATTTCCATGATATGGCGGTCCAAACTATTACCGATCCATCTCCATCCTTCACTGTTGGAAGAAGGCAGTCAGGATTGGAAGCTTCTTTGGGCTGCCTCCACACAGCTTTCGGATGTATATTTAGCCATTTTCAAGGATGGAATATTTTAACTGTTAAGTAAGAAAATGTTTGTTTCATGTACGTATTTATATAATGTATTTAGCAGCAATCATTCGGATTAAAAGAACATTCGGACAGTTTTTATATAATTTATCATCTGAAAAGAAAAAAATTATTAGATCGCATTAGAAATTGTATAAAAAAAACCTAAATCAAAGAACCTTTTCTGTCGTATTCAATAAAATGTGCATAAATGTAGGATTGGTGCCTAAATACACAAATATATATATATATATAAGTTATGAAGAACTTGGTAAACCGAATGGGTAATTCCAAGGAGGATGAAATCCTGAGAGCTCAATGTGAATACAGAGCTAATATTTAATGAAAAACAGACCACTTTAATTGTACCATTACAATAATTTATTTCACCAAAATCCTTTTTTTAAAAAGGATTTTGTGGAAATAAATTATTGTAATTGTACCTTAAAGTGGTCTGTTTTTCATTAAATCATTATATATATATATATATATATATATATATATATATATATATATATATATATATAGTCGATTTTACTTTTTTGGTTTGCAATATCGATTTTTGTTTGCTAACCAAACGTTTCTTTGTAGCTAAATGGTTCCGTGTATGATACAGGTGCGATTTCTGTTGGAGGACGCATATTTTCTATGAAAATTTCTCGGACGTTCAGGCCAGTAAATTTTGTTAATACTATTTATTATAAACAGAGCATTTATTTAAATATTTGTATCTATAAATATAACGTATAAACAATAAATATATTAAATAATTGTCAGATTTTGTCCATTTCATATACATACATACATACAGGTTATCCATAAATTCTCTTTACAATTTACAAAAATATATTACAAAAGGAAATGAACTTGTGGACACTCAGTATATATATATATATATATATATATATATATATATATATATATATATATAGAACTGTGTAGCGGAAAAAAACATATTTTAAATCAATTAATTTATAATATTAATGCTCTGTAAATTTACATTAAGCACTATTTGGCAAAAATAAAATATCTATAAGAACACCGGATTATATATCTTACTGTTCTTTCTTTTATTTAAATATATATATATATATATATATATATATATATATATATATAAGGGTATTTATAAAGTCTTCACAATTTTAAAAAAATCATTACAAAAGCAAATATATATATATATATATATATATATTGGAAAACCTTATGTTAAGCCTTTTGAACTTTCTTTTACTTGTCATTTCTAATGATGAAAAATGGAATTTATACTAAGTTAACTGTGCTATGTGTCCTCTGGGTATGAATTTCTGGGTATTTTAAACCTAATGTATGCAGGTCGGTGTTGATTTCCAAGTTGTTCTAGTTTCTGAAGAGAAAGAAACGAATTTCGTTGTATAATATATGGAATCCAGTCGTTGATGGCGTAGAATGGAACCGCTTGTGCTACATACGTGACAAGGAACGGGTTAACGTAATCAGTATATTTGCCAGAATTTCGTATTTCTTTACGTTTTGTTTCTGTAAAAAATGGATAGCATTTTTTTTCTTTAGGATTTATGGATCAGAAGAATAGCTCGCTCGGTAGCAATCTAGCTATCTAGCTAGCTTTCTGTCTTTGATGTGTCGTATTTTTCAGTTTGTCAACACCATCTCGTATCTATCTATCTATCTATCTATCTCGTTAGCTATCTTGCTGTCTTTGATGAGTCTTTTTCCAATTTGTCAACATCATTTCGTATCTATCGATCGATCGATATGTTTGTCTATCACTGCATGTCATATCAAGCTAGCTAGCTAGCTCGCTCTCTATCTCTCTAGCTAACATCCTATTTTGATGAGTTGTTTTGCATTTTGTCAGCACCATCACATTATCTATCTATCTATCTATCTCAGCCAATGTATTATCTATCTATCTATCTATCTATCTATCTCAGTCTCTTCATGATCTATCTATCTATCTATCTATCTATCTATCTATCTATCTATCTTCAAAAGCAAATTCACAGACGACAGTTAAAAGCCAGTCACTTTATCCCCGACTCACTTCTTCATGAGCGCTTAAAATGTTCTTGCACTTGGGACAGCTTTCTAGAATTCTCCTTATCGAAAATTGATGTATTTCGTGCGCATGCTCATTTGATTCGAGTGGTCGCCATTAGGATTCTGGGTAATTCAGTACGAATTTGGATAAACGTATTTTATGGTAAATACTCTAGTTTCTTTTCCATTTCGCCTTCTTTTTAAGACGCAGTTATTTTTTTTTATTATTATTTTCCTTATCTCTTCCTTTCTCCATTCTGTGTTGTCTTCCTTCTTTTCTGTTCTCGTTACTCTTTCTTCTTTGATCCCTTCCGTTTTTTCTTTCTTTTTTATCCATGCTTCATGTCAACATCTATGTTTATTTATTTATATATATATATATATATATATTCACAGCCATCTCAAATTATATCTGTCATCGTCAGATCATATCTATGTATCATAATCTATTGATCATAATGTGTCTGCATTATCTAAGTCTGTTAATTATCTATCTATCTATCCATCTATCTATCTTAGTTCGCTGGTCAATATCTCTTATCATTCTATATATTTATCTTATTCTCTTGGTCAATATCTATCTATCATCTATCTATCTATCTATCTATCTATCTATCTATCTATCTATCTCAGTCTGTTGGTCAGTATCTATCTATGTCTGTTGGTTAATATAGATCTATATATCTCAGTCTGTTGGTCAATATCTATTATCATTCTATATATTTATATTATTCTCTTGGTCAATATCTATCTATCTATCTATCTATCTATCTATCTATCTATCTATCTATCTATCTCAGTTTGCTCTTATCTATCTATCTATCTATCTATCTATCTATCTATCTATCTATCTATCTATCTAAGTCTGCTCTTATCTATCTATCTATCTATCTCAGTCTGTTGGTCAATATCTATTATCATTCTATATATTTATATTATTCTCTTGGTCAATCTATCTATCTATCCATCTATCTATCTCTATCTCAGTCTGTTCATATCTATCTATCTATCCATCTATCCATCTATCTATCTCAGTCTATCTCAGTCTGTTCATATCCATCTATCTATCTATCTATCCATCTATCCATCTATCTCAGTCTGTTCATATCTATCTATCTATCTATCTATCTATCCATCTATCTATCTCAGTCTGTTCATCCATCTATCTATCTATCTATCTATCTATCTATCTATCTATCTATCTATCTATCTCAGTCTGTTCATATTCATCTATCTATCTATCTACCCATCTATCTATCTATCTATCTCAGTCTGTTCATATCTATCTATCTATCTATCTATCTATCTCAGTCTGTTGGTCAATATCTATCTATCGATCTATCTATCTCTCTATGTCTGTTGGTTATTATCGATCTATCTATCTATCTATCTATCTATCTATCTATCTATCTATCTATCTATCTATCTTAATAAATAAATGTTCATGTCAAATTATTTTATACATGTATCTATTCTTATTTCTCTCGAATTCCTCTTTTATTTTACGATATAAATGTTTGTTTATTCATATATATATATATATATATATATATATATATATGTTGGCCACGATGTCAAAGATTTGCATTCACTTTTCCCTTTTTAGACTTCAATTATCTAACAGTATCAAAACACCTCGTCACTGATTTACCAAGATATTTGACAAAAAATTTAAATGCCAATATGATTGCTTGGGCTAAAAAATCTCTAATTGCTCATTTAACAGCCAACATGTCAAAAGCTGTGAAGTCTATTGACATTATTGACAGACACAATCAATAAGTTACAAAGATATGCGCCAAATTTGCTGCCACGTTTGCCGTCACAATTTCTTTGAAATCTTGAATCCGTTTCCTTTGGTCAGTTTAAGATTTCTTCCTATATATATATTTTTTCCGTGTAAAATATCTTTTATATAAAAAAACATGTTGTTCATATAACACGCATATTTTCATATATAAGCACATTTTTCATATACAAGGCAATATGTTTCCAATGAAATGAATATATTCTCATTAAAAATTCATTAAAATGTATATTTTTCAAATAGAATGAATATTGTATCATTAAAAATTATTAAATGTTTTTTAAACACTCAATCAAGTATTGCATCAAATACATATCAAAGGGGTCAGATAAAACTGTTTTTGCACAAACCTCCACTGAATTTTTTCTATTCCTTAAATTAAATTTAAATTTGAACAAGGGAATGCCTCCTATACAATATATAGAAGGAGAAAACCAGAAGATAGAGGTCACATCAGCAAGTTCATTGAGTAATACTGAAATGCATAATTTTTCTCCATATATTATATCAATGATTTAAAATCAATCATCATTTTCTTGCAAAAATCTGTTTGACACGCAGCAAAGCGCGTATAATTCGGCTAGTTTGTTTATATGAAGGTCGTTTTGAGCGGGCTTAAATTCAGATCCTTTCACGCGAACGTGGGTGTCCCCCAAGGATCGATTCTAGGCCCTACACTGAATTTGACTTCTTCCTGATGTGCTCAATTGCCAAGTAGGCATTTCAGCTGATGACACTCTCATTTACTTCTGTTTTAATAGCAAATCCATCAGAGTTGACAAAGTTAGCCTGGCCGCAGCTCTTGAAAAGAGCCTCCAATCTGTGGTTAACTGGGGCAGAAAATGGCTCATAAATTTGAATGCTTCCAAAACTAATCCGCTCTCACCACAGAGATCCTTTCCTGCCCGCCATCAGCATATGGCTTAGGCTAGACTCCTGGAGAACAACACACTGCGCCTTCTTGGCGTTACGTTTTCATCTGAATTGATGCGGAACGGCTACAGCGAATCAATAGCTACATCTATTGCAAGGAAATTTGGGTTACTATGTCGTGCAAGAAAATTTCTGTCGTCAGAGTCCATATTGCACATTTGCAAATCTATTATTCGTCAGGGCATTGAATATTGCTACCACATCTAGTCTGGTGTTCCTTTGACTCATCTTGAGATTCTTGACAAAACACAAAAAAGGATCTGCAATGTAATCGATACTGACTTGGCAATCCGACGTAACGTGGCTTCACTGTCTTTTCTACAAATATTTTCATGCCAATTACTTTGACGAGCTGTTCTCCCTCTGTGTGTGTGTGTGTGTGTGTGTGTGTGTGTGTGTAACGAATGCACGGCCGCAATTTTAGACGGATTTGCACCAAAATTTACATGCACACGCTCCAAGTTAGCGGATAGGCCAAGACCGTCTTTGCATTTCCCAACTCTCATCGATAGTGGAAATAATCGATTTTTCATACTTCTACGGCACTTTTCATGTAGTTTGCGGCCATTTTGTACTGGTCGGAGTGAGACCCTATAGTTGGCTGCCACGAATAGGCAGGAAGATTCTATTGGCCAACGTGAGAGCCAACAGCTGACTGACACGAATGTTAACTAGCATCCTAGCATGCAAAAAAAAAATATCGATAGCTGTATTCGTCACAAGTGGAAAAATTTAAATCTGCATGGCACTTTTACCCAATTGGCTCATTCGCTTGCTTAAACTCAACGTTGATTCTGATTCCGCAGAACTGGGTTGGATGTGAAAAAGTATTTGTTGTTAAAATTCTTTTTTCATTTGGTTTTTTCAGTTACGAGTCCTTTTTTTAAAGCTGATCGTTTTGTGATCATTTTGTTTAGTTCTTTTTTCGTAACAGATTTAATGTTTAGTACAGAGCTTAGAAAAAAATCGCAGTGTGAAATAACTTAAAATTCCATATGTTGAAGTTCTTTTATCTCTGAACTCAAAACAACTAGCGATCGCAGGCGATGAGGGAAGAATGCAACCACTTCGCCCCCTTCCACCAGGGATCTATGCAACATAATGATGACGACGTTGTACCGCTATTCATCTTCCAACAGGTCCTCAGATTCAACATGGAGGCTTACATCAAGTGCCTTGCGGAGATAGTACTGTCCTGGGTCAAGAGTGTTGCTGCTGGAAGGCCATATATCTGGCAAAAGAACTCTGGACCATACCACACAAACAAATGAATCCAGTCATGTCTGTCAGATAATTTATGCGGCCATATAACCCCTTACATCTGGCCACCAAACTCCACAGACTGCAATCCTCTTGATTATTATGTGTGGAGCGCAGTTGAGCGAGTGTTCAACAAAACTCCTTGTAAATCAAAGATGAACTGGAGTCAAGGACTATTCTTACAACAATCTCATTCTCTAACACTCTACATAGAGAGGCTCTTGAGTCTTGTATATTTTGAACTAACAGTAAAAAAAATTATTAATTTAATGACTCTGTATAAAGTCACTTTGACACCCTCTCTAATCTTCATTTTATAGTTCTAAATAATATCCTTGAACCTTTCTATTAATAATCTCCAATTGATTAGTGTTTTAATTTGAAATTATCTGATAGCATTAGCTTAACACGTTCATTGTGCAGAATCGCCTTTTAATTACTGTTGTCCACATACGGAGTGGTAACACCTGTTAGGGTCCTAGCTATAGGTAAATTGAGAACACCCAAATAAAAATTAAAACGCTAGGAAAGTATAAAACACACATTTTTATAGGTAACCTAGCTAAAAAATATTAGGTAAATTAAATAACCAAAATACATTTATAGAAAATGACCAAAGAATACATTTTTTATAGCCAAATGATAATCAAATATTTTAAAAAATTGACGCTAGAAAGAATATAAACAGATCACTATTCATTTCTAGTCTATCATCTATTACTATTCACATCACTATTCATAGTCTATCCTCTATTACTATTCACATCACTATTCATAGTCTATCCTCTATTACTATTCAGATCACTATTCATAGTCTATCCTCTATTACTTCATTCACATTCATAGTCTATCCTCTAGTCTATCACTAGTCTATTACTATTCACATCACTATTTCTAGTCTATCCTCATTACTATTCACATCACTATTTCTAGTCTATCCTCTATTACTATTCACATCACTATTTTAGTCATCCTCTATTCTATTCAGATCACTATTCATAGTCTATTCCAGATCACTATTCACATAGTCTATCCTCTATTACTATTCAGATCACTATTTCTAGTCATCCTCTATTACTATTCAGATCACTATTCATAGTCTATCCTCTATTACTATTCAGATCATCACTTTCTAGTCTATCCTCTATTACTATTCATTCAGATCTAGTATTTCTAGTCTATCCTCTATTACTATTCACATCACTATTTCTAGTCTATCCTCTATTACTATTCAGATCACTATTTCTAGTCTATCCTCTATTACTATTCAGATCACTATTTATAGTCTATCCTCTATTACTATTCAGTTCACTATTCATTCAGATCTATCCTATTACTATTCTATTCACATCACTATTCTAGTCTATCCTCTATTACTATTCATATCACTATTTCTAGTCTATCCTCTATTACTATTCACATCCTCATCACTATTTCACTATTTCTAGTCTATCCTCTATTACTATTCACATCAGTCTATTTCATAGTCTATCCTCTATTACTATTCACATCACTATTCATAGTCTATCCTCTATTACTATTCAGATCACTATTCATAGTCTATCCTCTATTACTATTCTGATCACTATTCATTGTCTATCCTCTATTACTATTCAGATGACTATTCAAAGTCTATCCTCTATTACTATTCAGATCACTATTTCTAGTCTATCCTCTATTACTATTCAGATCACTATTTCTAGTCTATCCTCTATTACTATTCAGATCACTATTTCTAGTCTATCCTCTATTATTACTATTCTATTTCTTCTACATTCTATTCAGATCATTCATAGTCTATCCTTTTCTAGTCTATCCTCACTATTACTATTCAGATCACTATTTCTAGTCTATCCCTCTATTACTATTCACATCACTATTCATAGTCTATCATCCTTACTATTAGATGACTATTCAGTCTATCCTCAAATCATTCATTTCTAGTCTATCCTCTATTACTATTCAAATCACTATTTCTAGTCTATTCACATCACTATTCATAGTCTATCCTCTATTACTATTCAGATCACTATTTCTAGTTATCATCTATTACTATTCTGATCACTATTCATAGTCTATCCTCTATTATTATTCAGATGACTATTACCTATTCATCCTGATTCCATCACTATTTTAGTCTATCCTTCACATTATTCATGGCTATTTCTTTAGTCTATCCTCTATTACTATTCAGATCACTATTCAGTCTATCCTCTATTATTATTCAGATCACTATTCATAGTCTATCCTCTATTACTATTCAAATCACTATTTCTAGTCTATCCTCTATTACTATTCAGATCACTATTCATAGTCTATCCTCTATTACTATTCACATCACTATTCCTAGTCTATCATCTATTACTATTCTGATCACTATTCACATGGCTATTTCTATTCTATCCTCTATTACTATTCAGATCATTTCTAT